GTGCCCCACTTGGGCTGTGCAGGACCTGCCCCTACCCCTGCCCCAGCCCCACTCCCTCCCTCATCTGTCCCCCAACCCACACTCTCCCTCACAACAGACTTACCACCCAGATCCGGCAACTCTCCTTGCTGCCAGGCAGCACTCCTAGCCACCTGCATGCTGTGCTGCAGCTGCACACATGCACAGGGCATTTATCAGTGACAATCAGCCACATCAGGCAAAAAAAAACCCCAATTGCTGATACTGTCAATTTTCCTTATATCAGTGCCAATCTGATATGGGCCTGATATATCGGTGCACCTCTAATTCTAATAATTAATAGCTGTAAAGAGTCTGTGAAGTTACATTTGTATTTCTCCGTTTCCTTATTCCTTTCTTAGGAAACCGTTTCTACCATCAGACATGATCACAGAGTGATAAACCATTAAAAACCAAAAAAAGCAGGAAACTCAACCTCCTGCTTCTATGGATGTGATGGTCCATATATGTGCTTGGTCTTTCCCTGAGTTTAACAGACTAGGACAGTGACCAATAAGAAAGAAATTTGTTCTCAATCATATAATAGACACAAAACTGGCATAATATATTTTAAAGCTTTGTGCATGCACGGTATACTTTAAAATAGTTCTAACTGAAGCTATATTTGGGGGTGTAAATGCTATTAAAATTATTGGAAAAACAACTCTCTCAAATTTAGATCTACCCTATAACAGTACTCAAACATTTAGTTTTTCTCATCAGGGTGCTCCACACACATTCTCTCATTGAACCATGGCCACTAGTTGAAACCAGACGTTCTCATAGGAAAAGTTCAGTTTTGATAAATTTCACCAATCATAACTTTGTTTGCAATTTTTTTATGTTGAATTTTTAAATGAAAACTGCAGTTTTCTAATTAGAAACAACTTTTATGTTTTGATCTTAAAGCCAATCATAGTATGCATAAACATGTTTGAAACTGAATGAAATATTTCAGTTAAAACTAATCAATCTCTTAAAAAAAATTGTTCAGGAGAAAAATTTTGCAGCCCTTTAAAATATATATAGATATTAAACTCAAATTAAAACAGGAACATTTTAGAAATCCTGAAAATCTCCTGGCACTATTTCCTACCTTTAATCTATATCCATAGAAAAGTATTCAGAAGCAGCTGCTTCAGTTCTTCCTGTCTTGTTTATGACATTCATAGGTGCAATGGCCACACAAAATAGAATTTTCCTGAAGATTTAAAGGAAAGAAGTTCCTTAAATATTTGCACATCATTGCTTTTGTGCACAATAAGGAACAGGCCACGAAGGTGGATTCTAAGCACTGCCATAGAAATAACTTACCTTTGAGACTTTCCTATTTAAGCTAATGGGACTCATGGGAACCCCCCACCCCATGAGTAAAAGGTTTACAAAATCAGATGCAATTTTTGTAAGCCAGGTGTATAAATACAACTGGAATGACAGAGTCTATTAATACAGATCAGCTATTGTGACAATGTCACAATGATAACTAAACCCCTAAGGCAGCAGCACATTATTCTGGAAACCCTCAAGTTCCTTTACATCTGTGCTATTAAGATGAGTGTAGTCTGAAAACAAAGCTAAATATGTACCAAATTCAACCATGCTCAGAACATACCACTTCCTACATCTCAGCAGAAACAATTCTCTATCAAATATGGACAAAACACTTTAAAACATGAAGGGCTCTTATACAAATATGTACATAGTACTAGAATCCCATGACTTCAGGTGATAAATGATTTAAAGAAATTAACCAATTTTGCCCTCTTTTTTCTCCGTGTGTGGTTAAGGATGACACATGTAAACAAGGTCACACACTAGCCAAAAGGAGTGCATGGAGCAGGGTGCCAAAAGACATCTGAGCAAAGTTTAATTTATGAGCATATCAAGGGGGTATCAGAAGCTTAAGTCATAATATGTCAGAGGCAAGTTAAGGAACAAATCACAGAGGCAGGGAAAAGGGAAACCATTCCTATACTGAGCACTTCTTTTAAAACCTACCGAATTCCATTCCTACAGCCACCCTTATTAGTGACATACAGGATTGTACTGGAAAGGAGGACAAAACCTGGTATGGTGAGATGGTGCACCTGGCATCCATGGGGAGTCACATTTTGCAGGCATAACTCCTTTGAAATGTTTGGTGCAATTTGGAGAGTTGGTTTTTTTTTTTTTTAATATTTTGGCATTTAACTGGTTATTAATTGCACACTTTTTTCCCTCTTCTATTCCTCCCTCTTCTCTCCTTCCTTTCCCCATGTCTTAACGCTTATTGTTTGTGACAGATGTATGTAATTCGGATTGCTGCAATCTGTAACAGAGTGTAACATAGCAATCTGAATTATATACCATCTGTCACAAACCATATACATGTATCTACACATACACACCATATTTCTGATCCATGTTGAAATATTAAAAAAAAAAAAAAAAGGAATTGAAAAGATAAAAGCCATGACAAACACTTACGGGAGTCATAGTCAACTCCCCCCTCTCCCGTCCCCCCTAGTACAG